CTGCAGTGACAGCAGAGGAGGGTAAAGTTCAGCTCCTCACTGCTGGGCTTTAGTTACATTTAGGGCATCATATGACTTCAAAGAGGGGGGCGATTATTTATTATCACCCACCCCTAATTCTTCAGTGATATGAAGCTGAAGTCAGATATTCACCAGATTCTTGTTCGAATTTTCCCGTTCCACCTTAAATCGTGCAGCAGTTACATTCTGGCACCTCAGGCATCAGAACTGCTGGACTATTTAAGGTGGAACGGGAAAATTAAGTTAGCTAGCTACCGAGACATTAGCATGCTATTACGATGCTTGTTATGAAGAAAAGGACCAAAATACACTGAAATGACATTAAATTAAGGTTATTGTAAGTTTTTAATTTTGTGTTTCTTTGGTCTCTTGTTCTCCATCTTGCCGGTTTTTCTTTTTTCTCATAACTCTCTGTTTGGAGTCTCTGAAAAACCTCCGTTTGGAGGGTCATGTAGCCCAAACACTTCACCCTCCCCCTCTATCTCAACAAGAATCGGGACACCCTACCCCTAGACGTGAACACGCTAAACAGAGGGCTTAGGGCTCAGTGGTAGAGGTGAGGGGTGAAATGGGACTGGGCCTAAATCTTCCAATGATGTTTAAGACTGTGAGGGCCATTCCCAAACCTGCTTCAGTAGCTCTTGGTGGATTTTGAGCAACGTTTTGGATGTTGAAGCCGCTGACTGTCACATTTGCTTCCAGACTTTGCTGATATTTAGTGAAAATCCATTCTTCCGTCTTCCTGTGCCGCGTTTCCTCAGCCACTGGCAGCCACACAGCCTCAAAGCATAACAGATCCACCCCCATGCTTAACAGCTGGCACGGTGTTCCATTCATCAGATGCTGCTCCTTTCTTTCCCTTTATATGCATAACTGTGGTCATTATGGCCATTTTTACTTCATCACTCTGCATCCCTTGTTTCCAAAATGCCTCTGACTGATCGAGATGATGTTTTGCTAACTTCAGATGATGACTTTGGTAATGAGGTTTCCTTCTGAAGACTCTTACATGCAGATCTTGATGCTGAATTCAAAGAAATGTTTTCTGTGTAGCTACGTGGAGTCTAAAGAGCTTCAGTGGTTTCTGACGCTGTATGACTCTCTGAGATCTACAGACATGGACTGAAATGCATTTGCATACCTAAAAATATTAGTAGCAGCCTGAATTCTACCTGTGAGTTTGTTACTGTTTATCACTCCCATCACATCCAGCTTCACAGACGTTTTAACAAACTCTCTTTATTGCTGTTCAGTGAGCAAAATCAAGTGGAATAACATCAGGTTTATAAGAAAATATCACTGATCTATTAAACCCAGTGTCCCCTCGAGGACTCGTCCGAGGTTCAGGACAGTGTTGACTTTGTCTTGTGTTTTTTATTTTTCATATCAGAGACAGAAACAGCACTGCGGGAAAAAGAAACTGAGCAAAGTGTTTTAATGTTTTAATAAATCGGTTTACTGTGCAGTATTTTCAGGTCAGTCTTATGGACCCACTGCGCTGCACATTTAGGAGTTTTTCCACTCTAACACACCTGATGTCACTCTTCAGTTCGGAGCCCCAGTGGTGACATGCCTTCATAATAAAAATAAAATGTGGCCCCAACTTAGTAAGGCATGGGAATGGGATACTTAAGTCATGATAATTAGGTTGTGGCAACCACTTATAAAGTAGGGAAAATAAGATAAACTACATGAAGATCCTGTGATGATCGTACTCATTACTAAGTCATGGACATGACCTAATTATCTCATTCCAATGCATTACTAAGTTGTGGCCACAACTTAATTATCATGACTTAATTATCTTTTTCCTATGCCTTATAAAGTCTTGTCCACTATTTATCATGACTTAATTGCCTTGTTCCCATGCCTTACTAAGTCATGGCCACAACTTAATTATCTCATTCCCACACCTTACCAAGTTATGGCCTTTGCTTAACTATCCCATTCTCACACATGACTAAATTATGGCCTCAACTTAATTATCTCATTCCCACACCTTACTAAGTTCTGTACACAACTTAGTTTTTTCATTCCCACAACTTAATTATCTAATTTCACACACTTTACTATGTTGTTGCCATGACTTAGTTATCTTGTTCCCACATCTTACTAAGTTGTGGCCACAACTTAATTATCTCATTCCCACAACTTACTAAACTGTGGCCATGGCTCAATTATCTCATTCCCACATCTTACTAAGTTCTGGCCACAACTTGATTCTCATTCTCACACCTCAGTAAATCATGGACACAATCCTATCAATTCACACTCTTTACTATCTTGTGGCCTTGATTTAATTATCTCATTCCTATGCCTTTCTAAGTTGTGGCCACAACATAATTATCTCATTCTTAGTAAGGCATGCTTAATAAGACATGAGCGAGATAATTAAGTTGTGGCCACAATATATTTCATTTTTTTTGCCATGCTGTCAAAAAATCAGTTTAACCAGGCGTTCACATTCAGGAATTAGTGCTGAGTGTTTTCTATTCAAAGATCATTTATAGCCTGTTAGTTCTCCATTAATTTGTCACTTTTGCTTATTGATATTTGATACATTTGATGAGATACTAGCATAAACATCAAAGATTACTAAAACAAAATAACTGCTCCAGTTATATGATCAAAACATGATCATCATCATTAGCAAAAGCTGCTATAGCGGTTTATAACGAACTGGATCCAAGTTATGTTTTATTTTATAATTCCCAAATCCTTCTGATATACGCAAACTATTCTAAATTTAAAAGTACATTTTAAAAAGGAAAAGTAGAAAAGTATTTTGATTACATGTAAATGAAACTTATTAAAGGTAAATAAAAAGTAAACATGAGGCACATGCGGCTGCCTGTTCTACAGAGAAGACTCTCAGTTCAAAGCACAAATACGTCACATTTCTCGGACTCTTCTGGAGTGTAATATCAAAACACCGGTTCTTTGTGTTCTCATCTCTGCAGCTGTTATTCATCTCTGCTGGTAAAATCTTTATCAATGTAAACATTTACATCATCACAGGCACTTGAGTGGCACGTCTAAATACTGATCATATATATTCTTCAACTATATTCTTTCATATTTATACAGATAAAAAACAAATACATTGCATAAAAAGTCAATATCTGTAGGACAGATGCTACAAAGAGTAGCAGTCAGGAAAGAATAACAAGAAATAATAAAAACACAAAGTTAGCACAGTTAAATAGTGACACCACTGAAATACACACATGTGCTGTAGTTGATAGGTAAATGATAATACTAGTGGTACAAATCAATAATAATTTAAACTGGCTCATATTGTTTCATCAATTCAAGAAAATATGATCAACTCAGCGAAATTAAGTCCATTGTTCTATTGTCAGACGATGAGCCATTCGTTTATGAGAAAAGAACAAAGTTGAATATTGAGCCCTTGAGAACTACACAGTCGCTGACCACTTTATTGGAAAAACCTCTCATCTACAACCCCATTTCCAAAAAAGTTGGGACGCTGTGCAGAAGGTAAATAAAAATAGAATGCAATGATATACAAATCATGTAAACTATATATTTAAAGGAAAATACTATAAAGACAACAGATCAAATGTTGAAACTGAAAATTTGATTGCTTTTGAAAAATATATGCGCATTTTGAATTTGATGCCAACAACACATTCCAAAAAAGTTGGGACGGGAGCCTGTTTACCACTGTGTTTCATCACCTCTTCTTTAACAACACTCTGTAAGCGTTTGGGAACTGAGGAGACACTGCTGTAGTTTTGAAAGTGAAATGTTTCTGATTCTTGTTTGATACAGGATTTCAGCTGCTCATCAGTTCAGGGGCTCCTTTGTCATATTTTTCATTTTATAATGTGCCAAATGTTTTCAGTGGTGACAGGTCTGGACTGCAGGCAGGTCAGTTTAGCACCCGGACTCTTTTAATATGGAGCAATGCTGCTGTAATACATGCAGAATGTGGTTTGACATTGTCTGGCTGAAATAATCAAAGGCTTCCTGAAAAAGACGTCGTCTGGATGGCAGCATATGTTGCCAAAACATGTATATATCGTTCAGCAATAATGGTGCCTTCACAGATGTGCACGTCACCCATGCCATGTGCACTAATGCCCCCTATACCATCATGAATACTGGCTTTTGAACTGTGCACTGATAACACGCTGAGTGGTCTTTAGCCCGGCGGACACAGTGTCCATGATTTCCAAAAATAATTTCAAACGTTGATTCGTCGGAGCACAGGACACTTTTCCACTTCCCCTCAGTCCATTTTAAATGAGCTCAGGCCCAGAGAAGGTGGCAGCGTTTCTGGATCCTGTTTATATTTGGTTTCTTCTTTGCGTTTTAGAGTTTTAGTTAGCATTTGTGGATGCAGCGATGAACTGTTTTCACAGACAGTGGTTTTCAGAAGTGTTTCTGAGCCCATGCAGTGATTTCCTCTACAGAATATTGTCTGTTTTTAATGCAGTGCTGCCTGAGGGCCCAAAGATCACGGCCAGCCATGGTTTTCGTCCTTGTCCCTCACATACAGAGATTTCTCCAGATTCTCTGAGTCTTTTAATGTTATTATGTACCGTAGATGATGAAAAGCAAACGTTCTTTGCTGTTTTACGCTGAGAAACGTTATTCTTGAATTGTTGCACTATTTGATCATGCAGTCTTTCACAGAGTGGTGAACCCCTCCTCATCTTTACTTCTGAAAGACTCCACCTCTCTGAGATGCTCTTTATATCCACCAGGTGTTTTTTTAGCATTACACAACTTTACCAGCCTTTTGTTGTCCCCGTCCCAACTTTTTTGGAATGTGTTGTTGGCATCAAATTCAAAATGGGCAAATATTTTTCAAAAAACAATAAAATTTCTCAGTTTCAACATTTGATATGTCGTCTTTGTACTATTTTCAATGAAATATCATATTTAAATGATTTGCACATCATTGCATTTTGTTTTTGTTTACATTTTGCATGGCGTGTACTTCAACTCACTGGCCACTTTACTGGAAACACCTCCCGTCTACTTCAACCAACTGGCCACTTTATTGGAAACACCTCCTGTCTACTTCAACTCACTGGCCACTTTATTGGAGACACCTCTCGTCTGCTTCAACTCACTGGCCACTTTATTGGAAACACCTCTTGTCTACTTCAACTCACTGGCCACTTTATTGGAAACACCTCCCCGTCTACTTCAACCAACTGGCCACTTTATTGGAAACACCTCCTGTCTACTTCAACTCACTGGCCACTTTATTGCAAACGCCTCTCTACTTTCACTCACTGGCCACTTAATTGGAAACACCTCCCGTATAGCTCCACTCAATAGGTGTACAGTTAGAGTCTGCAGTCCATCTGTTGCTGTACAGTTTATATCATTTGGAGCTATAAGGGAGGGGTTTCTAATAAAGCCTGTCAGGGTGTACTGAACTGCCTTACACCTATAAATCAAGAGAAGAGAACCAGAAGATCTCAACTGGTACCCTTTAGGAACCTCAAGAGAACAACAACCGGGTCTAACAAAGTCAACCTGAGAAATACTTCAACCTGTGCGTTACAAAAAAAGGTTTAAAAAACGCTGTAGAGTTTCTGCATAAGGGTCATTTGGTGAGTATTATGAATTATTATTGCACTTACAGCACAAAACGCTCTGTTGGCTACACCAGAAAGATATGCACCATATGAAAGACTCGTAATTCAATTCAGAAGTGCCTTCCTGAATTCACAGTGGAGATATAGGACATAAGGCACTGTGGGACACTATAAAAATTATTTGGCACAGTGAAGATGGAAAACTCAGGAAGGAAAGAGCCGTTTTTCTCTCACACGCATGCAGACAATGGAAGAAAACAGAACTGTAACACTGTCAATCAAAGATCACGGTAACACTGTACTGAAGACTGTCATTCGCAAAGCTGCTACACCTACATAAGCCTTTCATAACAACTAACAAACATTTATAAAGCCTTATTCTGTTGTTGGTTATGGTAAATGAACATTATAGCATTTTATACTCATTAAATAGTGGCAGGTTTTGTGTGATCATAAAACCTACCGCTGGGTGCTGTAGAGCCACAGTGCCAGAACATTTCAGTCAGAATAAAATCTATTTTCACACAAATATGCATAGCAGTTCACTTTTTGGCTGAATGTTCTGGAACCTGTTCCTGTAGAGTGCAGATTTCTGGAACCATAATGTACAGCACTGCTCATAAGGCACAAGAGGTGTTTTTCAAGAAAGGTTTGGCAAACTGGGCTCAGGTGAGGGTGTTTCAGGATCAGGTGATGTGTCCAGGTGAGTATGTTTGACAGGGGTCCAGGTGTTGGTATGCTCTGGGTCCAGGTATGTGGGTTTGGGTTCCAGGTGTTTGCATGCTCTAGGTCCAGGTAAGTGTGTCTCAGGGCCAGGTGTTGGCATGCTTAGGGTCCAGGTGAGTGTGTCTCAGGGCCAGGTGTTGGCATGCTTAGGGTCCAGTTGAGTGTGTTTTCAGTCCAGGTGTTGGCATGCTTAGGGTGCAGGTGAGTGTGTTTTTGGTCCAGGCGAGTGTGCTTTGCGTCCAGGTGATGGCATCCTCTGGGTCCAGATGAGTGTGTCTTGGGGCCAGGTGTTGGCATGCTCTGGGTCCAGGTGAGTGTGTCTTAGGGCCAGGTGTTGGCATGCTCAGGGGCCAGGTGTTGTGGGTCAGTTGTTGTTCTGTTCCCAGGTGTGTTTGCAGGTAAGATTATATGCGTACAGGTAAGTGTGTATCTGCACTGAGTGTTTTGTGTTCAGGTGTTGCATGTTGTGGTTCAGGGGAAGGTGCAGGTATGCTCTGGGTCCAGATGTCTTTGCTTCAGGTTTTCTGCTACAGGTTGGTGTGTTTCTGGGTCAGGTGTTGTTCTATTCCCAGGTGAGTATGTTAGTGGGTCAGGTGTTGTTCTACTCTCAGGTGAGTATGTTCCTGAGTCAGGTGCTGTTCTTCTTCCAGTTGAGTGTGTTGATGGGTCAGGTGTTGTTCTTGGTCAGGTGTTGTTCTGCCCCCATGTGAGTATGTTTCTGGGTCAGGTGTTGTTCTGCTCCCAGGTGAGCATGGTTATAGGTCAGGTAAGTGTGTTACTGGACTCTACGGCAGTAGTAGCCCAGCACCTTACACTTCTCACACAGGTGCTGAGGGTGCTCCTTACTCTGGTCAGACACGTCCAGACCATCAGGCTTCTCCAGGGGGCGCTAGATGCACAGAAAAATCAACAGGTAATGTAATACAGCTTCATATGGTATCATATGGTAATAACTATCGTTATTAATGTGTTTGTTTATAAAGCACATTTAATTTTAGTGATAAAATCTAAAACGAAGTGTGACTCAACTGAAATAAAAGCAAAGAAAGAGACCCAATATACTGGGAATCCTGGACTATGGGGGCCACTGGGTATCTTTTAGAAATGAATTGTATAAATATACTCCTGATCTGGGCAGCCCAAATGGGGGCAAACTGGGAGAAAGTATATATATATATATATATATATATATACCAATCAGGCATAACATTCTGACCACCTCCTTGTTTCTACGCTCATGGTCCATTTTATCAGCTCCACTATATAGGTGCACTTTGTAGTTCTACAGTTACAGACTGTAGTCCATCTGTTTCACTTTGTTAGCCCCCTTTTACCCTGTTCTTCAGTGGTCAGGACCCCCATGGACCCTCACAGAGCAGGTGCTATTTGGGTGGTGGATCATTCTCAGCACTGCAGTAACACTGACGTGGTGGTGGTGTGTTAGTGTGTGTTGTGCTGGTCTGAGTGGATCAGACACAGCAGTGCTGCTGGAGTTTTTAAACACTGTGTCCACTCACTGTCCACTCTATTAGACACTCCTACCTTGTCAGTCCACCTTGTAGATGTAAAGTCAGAGACGATAGCTCATCTGCTGCTGCACAGTTTGTGTTGGTCATCCTCTAGTCCTTCATCAGTGGTCACAGGACGCTGCCCACAGGACGCTGTTGGCTGGATATTTTTGGTTGGTGGACTATTCTCAGTCCAGCAGTGACACTGAGGTGTTTAAAAACTCCAGCAGCACTGCTGTGTCTGATCCACTCAGACCAGCGCAACACACACTAACACACCACCACCACGTCAGTGTTACTGCAGTGCTGAGAATGACCCACCACCCAAATAGCACCTGCTCTGTGAGGGTCCATGGGGGTCCTGACCACTGAAGAACAGGGTAAAAGGGGGCTAACAAAGTGAAACAGATGGACTACAGTCTGTAACTGTAGAACTACAAAGTGCACCTATATAGTAAGTGGAGCTGATAAAATGGACAATGAGCGTAGAAACAAGGAGGTGGTCAGGATGTTATGCCTGATCGGTGTATGTATATATTAGAAATGATGTTTCTTTTAAAATTATATTGTTGAAGTACTATATAAAATATAGTGTATTGTTATGAACTGCATTTTTAAAAACTCGAGTCCTTTTTTGGGCCCAAGACAAAAAGTTTGGGCACCCCTGCTCTAGATTAACAATAAAATCAGACTAGTGGTAAAAAACAATAATGCTAATAAACCTCTAGAGAGCTTAGAGGACCACAAGCAGAGTTTATGAAACTTATTACAGACAGAAAAAGTAAATATTTCCATAAAGCAAATGTGCTTCACTCAGTTCATCATCTCTAATCACTCCAGGTTAAAATTTGATAGGCTTCCCATAAAGTTATACTGAAGTCTCAGGTGGTCAGCAGATCCTTCGGCTCAGCTTGGTCACTGTGGGTCAGTGCTTAAACACAGTGATGCCGCTGTCCACAAGAAATCCATCGCAGTGACCCTCAGCACAGGCCATAAAACAGGATTGCAGAAGGTAAATCTCCACCCCTGCAGGACCTTCGGACTGAGGAGTCTCACAGGAATAGTTTGGCTATGGAGATAAAACAGTTCCCTCAGAAAAGTTCCTGCTGCTTCAAGCGTTCTCCATCGGAGTCTCCTCACATTCTTCTTCTGTTTATTTACCTTCACACAGAGTCACTAGTGAGGTGGCATAATTCACTCTAGCGCACATGTCAGGCTCCTCATGGGCCAGAACACCTGATTCAGCTCATCAGCTTCACTGCAAAAAATGGTATCTGGTCAAGTAAAATTGCCTTAAATACTCAAGAAATCTAATATTTCTCCTTTTAAGATTTTTGTAATCTTAATATAAGATTAATTTATCTCTAATAATAAGATAGATAATCTCATAATAAGAGCACAACTGTCTCAAAATGGGAAATATTAGATATTCTGACTACATTTAACATCATTTCACGTGACAATATACCATTTTTTTGCAGTGTAATTCACAAAGCCTTCATGAACTGAATTCAGAGCGTTAGATGAGGGTAAACGCTGAAATATCAACTCCTCCCCCTCTTTATCTCAAATATAGTCGGTCAGCCATGAGGCTAATATAGCTGAGACGCTCATCTTGAAATCCGAAGTGAAGGTGGGAAAATTCCAGACGTAGCTACAAAAGACGACCTGCTGGATTAATAAGCCTCATTTTACAGCAGATGATGCATAAAAATGGGCTGAGGAATTATAGATGTGCCAAAATCAGTGGTGCTGAAAGGCTACAGCAACTGGGTTGAGCACTACACACTTAAAAGATGGCTCTTCAAGGGTTCTTTAGTAAGGAAGATGGTTTGGTAGACACTCAAAGAACCCTTTGTATGATTAAAGGGTTCTTTGCATCGTGAAGTGGTTCTTCAGATTGCAGAGTACTGTAGATGGATCTATATAGCACCTTTTTTGAAAAGGGTTCTAAATTGCACCAAAAAGGGTTCTTCTGTTGTTACAGGCTTGACATTGTAACAACAGCAGAAACCTTTTTGGTGCAATATAGAACCCATTTGTAAAAAGGGTTCTATGTTGCACCAAAAAGGTTTCTGCTCTATTTGTTTTCAGCTCTATTAAACTGCTTCTTTGGGTCGAGGCTCATCAGAGAGGAAGCAGCTCAAGGCATGAGAAGGCGAGTCAGACTCGCTCACTATATTTCATTAATTTATTAATAGTTTTGTTCATCAGGCAGCTCATAACTTCTATGTGTCCCCGGTGTTTTGTGCTTTAATGGCTGGGTAATTAAAATTTTGTCAAAATAATGACAAATATATCATTTTATTACTAATTTTTAATAGTTGCATAAGCTCACCTGATCAGCCAACGAGTCAGCCGATTTACAGAATCCTCAGTTTTCACCAGAATGTCACTGGAGTCACCGTCACTGGTGTTACACCATATTCATACAACACCAGTGACTATAAAATATGTTTGGAATTCAGCTCCTTTCTGCATATATGATAATAGGAGATGTTAATGGACACATTAAGATTATTTAGTTTTGGGATGAAAGAAATTCATGTTTTAAAAATGTATCCACCTGAATTTCCACTCCTGATGGAGAACGACTCAGCTGCATTAGCCTCGTAGCTCCAGTGCTAAAACTTAAGAAGCAGAGTTCAAACACCAGACATGTCTTGTCTGATCAGCTATATTTTGGCAAATGGGATTGTTTAGAGACCCATTCCCGTAGTGGTACGTGCTGCAGTGAGTTATGTCATCTCACTTGTGGTTCTCAGCAGCATCTGCACGAAGTTAAATAAATGAAAGATAAACGACGGAGGACTCTGAAGGAGGCCGAAGGCTGGAAACAGCAGGAGGCACGATGAGAAGATTTCTCTTTCTTCTTTAGTCTCTTCTAAAGAGACTGACTGAGCTGATGGATCCAAAACCATGAAAATGCGTCTGGTTCTTTGTGCCGTAAAGAGCTAATGAAAAACACAATCTCAGCCAAAGCAAGAGGTGGCAAAACTGTTACCTCATGCTCAGTTATGTTTTTTACAGGCTTTATTATAAAGACACTTCATTTATCTTACTTCCACCCAAAACAGCCAAGTCTGAGTTACTCAAAAGCAGAAAACATATTTCAGATCAAATTACCAAGAAGCCTCAGCAGCTAAATCTAATCTCAGCTGTTCAGTGTTCAGTGAGTCACTCTCTCCCTTTATTCCAGCTTCCATTCTGTTCAGGAGACTCACTTTCAGCTCCTCAAAGAATCTGCAGACACACCTCCAAAGTTCAGTCTTAGAAGCTGGTTGATCATTTTCTGAAGTAATCAAACACATTCAGTGGTGTTGAGGTCTGGACTCTGGGGTGGTCAGTCCATCGTTCAGCTTCTTTGTTTGATGTGTCCGTCTCCTTTTCTCAGTGAGGTTCTTCTTGACAGCTACACGTCCTTTCAGACCCACAGCGCTGAGTCGTCTTCTCACAGTGGAAGGATGGACAGAAACACCTGTGGATGTTTTCAGATCTGAAGCAGCTTGATTTTCTCCTCTCTCTCAGAGATGAAAGCTTTAAGTGCTGTTTATCTGATGGGGGCAGTTTTGGGGTCGACCAGGTCTTCCAGGTGGTTGTTAGGAGCCCCATTTTCTCTGTAGCTTTAATTTAGTTTCAGAAACTCCTGTTTTTTACACTTATTGTCCTTTTACGTTCTACCTTTATGCAAGTGGACTATCTTATATCTGATCTCAGAAATCTCTCCTGAAAAATGAGTAACTTGTATTTCATGGCTGTTTTGACCGGAAATTAAATTAATGATGGGCACTCTGACTTTTGCACAGTACTGTAAACTTTAAATATTAGAATCTTATTACTGCCTTATTGTTGAACACTAAGCCCACATTTTTCAGAGTTCAGAATGGGCATCAATTTCTTTTTTATATGTCTGGATTTAGAAGTGAAATATATAATTTTAGGGCTATAACGTGCAACTTATTGCTTTTTATCTATACTTTCAGGAGTCATTATTCTACATTTTCTTTCTCTGAGGTCCACTAATGACATCTGTTTGGTGTTATGTACTAAATACATCCATAATTCATTTTTATATGACCATTTTTTGACCTCTGTTTATCCCTTTTAATTAAACAGGCTGTTTTTGTTACTTTGCTTTCAAGACTGATATATGTAATTGAGCTCTGTTTGATTGGCTGCCCTCATTCAAAAAGCAGTATGGGATGAAACACTCCTTATAACTTCAGTATCAATGGGTGGAGCTTAACTGCCATAGGCTTAGTTGACAAACATGGACTGTATGAACTGGGAAGTGAACAGTATGTTAAGAGAGCAGATTGTTTTCCATGATATGGACCCTTTAATTGGGCATTTATTGGGCTGTCTGAAAAGGACAGTCTTGTAATTGTCTATAATGCTATTAATAAAAAACAAATAATGCAGAAAATCCTCCTTTAATGTATCTGAATAACAGCCTCAGTGTTGATGATGTCCTTTAGTGCAGGCTCAGAGTGCTGCGTACCTGTTTGTGTGGGTAAACGTTGATGTGGCATTTGATGCACTCCTGCCCCATGTTCGCCCACGAGTTTCCGCTCATCCACTTCCTCTTACACTTGGGGCATTTATATTCACCGAAACAGCGCTTCTTCCCCTGATACGGAGTCAGGCCTTCACCTTTCGGACGGGCCTGCAGACACACATACAGCACAGAGCACTGAGAAAACAGGGACCTTACAAATACACTAAATGAGATTGGTGGACGTCCCTTTCCAAAACCGAGGTCATTAATATGGAGTTGGTCTCAATTTGCGGCTATAACGGCTTCCACTCTTCTGGGAAGCTTTCTACAAGATTTTGGAGAGTGAAGCATTCAGGCAAAAGAGCATTTGTGAGGTCAGACACTGATAATTAAGCAGTAGAACCCGAGAGGGAGTGTGTTATCACAAAATAACATCACGGCTGTGATTTGGTCGCCGTAGATCATCACAGCCGTGATGTTATTGGCGATAACACACTCCTCGAGTGTTCTACTGCTTTAATACAACAGTTAAATAAATACAGTAATACATTAATAAACTGGGCCGTGAACGCGGCGTTTAATATGTTTTAATGTTCGCAGTTCCTTCACCAAATTATAGTTCCTTAACAAGCAGCTTGTTGCTACATCAGAGTAACGAGCTCCGCCCACTCACTGCACAGCCGGCAGTTCGTTCTCCAGCTCCTTACACTAAATTCCCAAACTGTCATCACCACTGAGCAGCTTTTCAGTCGGCAGCTGTGACAGAAGAACAGCTAAACAACCTGGAATCAGCCAGAAATGAACCCAACACCATTCGCCAAACGTGTAGTCTGATCTTCAGAGTCTGACCAAATCAGACTGAGCCATAAAACTGCCGCAATATCAAGTTTAGCTCAGTTTTGTCAGTTTTTGCCAGATCAGTATTAATGTTGTTTTGTTCCAGCCAGTCTGTAAAGCATCTTACAGCCCATTTAGTTTGGCGAATGGTGTTGGGTTCATTTCTGGCTGATTCCAGGTTGTTCAGCTGTTCTTCTGTCACAGCTGCCGACTGAAAAGCTGCTCAGTGGTGATGACAGTTTGGGAATTTAGTGTCGTCTCATCTTCAGAGTCTGACCAAATCGGCTGTCGGTCAAATGTGATCTTAAAAGTGTCCGTTTTCTGTTTGTGGCAAAGTAAGAAGTAAAAACGTTTAAATGTCTTGAGCGTCTCCTACAGCTGTCAAAGTCGTTGCTTAGCAACAGCGTCTCAGCGTCTCACGTGATGTTATGGTGAAATAACAGCACAGTTAGAGCGCCTCTCAGCCAATCAGCTTTTGTGGCCGGAACTGATTGTTGTATAATGGATGAGAGGGCCTGACATTACAGTTCATCCCAAAGGTGTTCAGTGGGGTTGAGGTCAAGGCTCTGTGAGGGCCATTGGAGTTCCTCCACACCAAACTGGTCCCTCCATGTCTTTATGGAGCTGCTTTGTGCACAGGGGCTCAGTCATGCTGGAACAGGAAAGGCTCTTCCCCAAACTGCTGACACAAAACTGGAAGCAGATAATTGTCTAACATGTCTTTGTGCTGTAGCATCAACATCACCCTTCACTGGAACTAAAGGGTCCCTGAAAAACAGCCCAGTCCCATCATCCCTCCTCCACCAAACTTTACTGCTGGCACTCTGCATTCCAGTAGGTAACGTTCTCCTGGCATCCACCAAACCCAGATTCAAACATCAGACTGACAGATAGAGAAGTGTAGTGGCATAACTACTGTGGGGCCCATGGTGGAGGGGGGCCTGTGGCGACAGATCCCACCAATTTTTTTCAATTCTCCTTATGCTTGGACTGCATTGGGAGCACCAGAAGATTAGTAATCTGACCGTCAAGGCCAGCAGCGCTAAAGATGAACTAAACTAGAGCACCGCACAGCCACATCTGCTAAGATGTGGCCAAATCACTTCTTGTTGTAAACAAACATAATAATAATAATAATGTAATAATAATAACAATATATGAACTACTGTGTAAGTCTTACATATCTGTGAAAATGAGGTGTAAAGCTGTTCTGTGCGTACTGACAAATAAATAAACATTTAATTTTGTCTTGATGTGTTATCTTAATTAACCATTTCCAGATTTCTCATTGAGGAAGTCCAGTGTTTACAGTCACCATCCAACACCTGGTTTATCTAATCAGTCCTTTGTTAAATTAAAACAGGCGCTGCTGATGGAATTAAACAAACTCTTGTGAAGGCTGGAGTGCAGCGAGAATCCAGGAACCAAACCTGTTTTCTTCTAAGGCCCAGTCCCATTTCTTATTTTTACCCCTACCCCTTGTTTTCGAGTGTCACCCTAACCCCTTTGGAACTGAGTTACAGGGTAGTGGCTAAAATCTTCCCTCTGAAATGGGTCCCTCAAATAAAGAGCATCACTTCATTAACAGCTACCAGCGCTGCTCTGTAGGCGACCCTGCCAGTCTGCAGTGACAGCAGAGGAGGGTAAAGTTCAGCTCCTCACTGCTGGGCTTTAGTTACATTTAGGGCATCATATGATCTTCAAAGAGGGGGGCAATTATTTATTATCACCCACCGCTAATTCTTCAGTGATATGAAGCTGAAGTCAGATATTCACCAGATTCTTGTTCGAATTTTCCCGTTCCACCTTAAATGGTGTAGCAGTTACATTCTGGCGCTTCAGGCATCGGAACTGCTGGACTATTTAAGGTGGAACGGGAAAGTTAGCTAGCTAGATACCGAGACATTAGCATGCTATTAGTGATTTTTATGCTTGTTATGAAGAAAAGGACCATAATACACTGAAACGTCATTAATCTAAGATAATACGATGGTTACTGTAATTTTAACAGAGAAAATTCTCACATTTGAGGGTTTCTTTGTTCTCTTGTTCTCCGTCTCGCCGGTTTTTCTTTTTTCCTCATAACTCTCTCTTTGGAGTCTCTGTAGCCCCAACACTTCGCCCTCCCCCTCTATCTCTACAAGAATCAGGGACACCCGACCCCAAGACATGAACACACAAAACAGAGGGCTAAGGGCTCAGTGGTAGGGGCGAGGGGTGAAATGGGACTGGGCCTAAATGTATTCATGTAATCTACATAATAAATCACTGACAAAAAGCACTTTGTTTTTACTGTGCTTTACTGAATTTATGTTTGCTTGTATTTATTCTAATGTTACAAATCAATCCAATAGGCAGTCTAATAATCATTAACATTAGATGCTAGTGGATGCAAGCAGTGAGAGCATCAACTCATTTGAGACATAAAAATAATGAATAAACGTGCAAATTATTATGTGATTTTTATAAATTGATGTCCCCATAAGATCCTAGTTATGCCACTGGTGAAGCGTGATTTATCACTCCAAAAATAATGTTTCCACAGCTCCAGAGTCCAGTAGCAGCATGATTTACACCCCTCCAGCCAACACTTGGCATTGCACATAGTGATCTTAGGCTTGTGTGTAGCTGCTCGGCCATGAAAACCCATTTCATGAAGCTCCCCCTACACAGTTCTTGTGCTGATGATCATGAACATTTGATTATCATGAAGCTGAGTGTAAAATACAGGGTGATTAAAAAAAGATTCATCCGATTTCAAAATGATTGATTTCACTTGTAAATCATTACAGATCAATGCAGTAAACTGTAAATGGTTTAAATGAGCATAAAGTTTATTATGTAATTGTACAAGGTCTCAGTCTGAACCTCCTCCAGCTGTACAGACATCATCAACGCCATAGTCAGATTCATCCCATACTGGATTGAGCATGTCGGGTGACGCTGCACTCACGGCTCTTTCAGTGCGATTTCGGAGAACATCCAGTGTTGTGGAACCAACGACGAACGCTCTGAGCTGTTGGAGCTTCACTGCCCACGAAAATCACACTGCACAGTTATGACAGATTCACTCTTATTGACGTGGGAGAACGCAGAACGCTTTCTGCTCAGGGGTCTCATCTCCTCTCAGACTGAAGGGAGCCATCTTCCACTGACAGTCAGAAACTCTATGACCCCCTCTTACAATTGGATTGTGATTGGTTCCTCTGCTCCTCACAGTTGTAAAAATATGGAGCTTTGAAATCGGATTAATCTTTTTGAATCACCCTGTATACCAAAAACATTAGCACAGAGCTGCTTAATGATCTCTAAACCTTTGCAGGGACTCATTCTTATATTGAAAAGTAACAGTGAAAGTCAAATAAAGACAGCAAAGTGTCCTCTGACTTCTGACAGGTTAGTGTGGCTTAGTAATGCACTGTGTGTTCAGTTCCATCTCTGCTCGTAATTTCTCAGAATGTCTCACCATCTGGAGCTGTTCAGCTCATTCATCTAATGTACACTGACAGGTCTGTTCCGGATCTAAAGCCCCTCTGCTTTGTTTGGGTAAAGTTAAACGCTGTGTAATCCCACCCGAACACAAATCCTCGTTTTGATGTTTCACTCTGATGTGAAGAATCAGGATCAGGTGTGGGTTTGTGTTCAGGGCAGAACTCCAGCAACAGGCATCCAACAGTAACTCTTTACTGCGCTTATTAGAAACGACTCGATTCAAACGACCTGCCGTCTGATGCGGAGTTTAGCCGTAACCTCTGTTTAAAGGAATAGTTCTGTAAAAAAAACAAACGTACAGTTTGTAGTCGGGTTGGGTGTCTGAGGTTTTCTATCACTGCGCCACCTGCAGGTCTAAATATTCAAACAAATCTCAAATAGACTTGGTTTTTTACACTGTTGTCCGTTTTGACATCAAAACGTTAGACTTGAAGAACCTGTCCATACAGAAAGTAGACAAAATGTAAATGGAACTCATAATGTAATCAATTATGTAATATATATAAATACAAATATGAATATATATGAGAAAAATACTTCAGGCCCTAAAATGGCTTCTACTACACATAAACATAAGTATTTGAGATCACTTAAGCCCTCAGGGAACCTAAATAAGTTTTCTTTCTAAGTGGGTCTTGCGACCCCCCGTTCTCTGTTTTCCTTCTTGTGTTTTCCCATGATGCGCAGTTCTGTGATTGGCCACACAGGGGCGCTCTGACGTATGAGAGATCGCCAAGCCACCATCTTGGGAGACATTCAGGGCTCTCCCCTTTGACATGACCTGGAAGAACACCTGTCCAGACCAGTCCTGCAGGCCTTTACACCACTGTTCACTTCGC